TAGGTAAACAATGTTCAGATACAGAAAAACTTATACTAACTCTCCATGATAAGGACCATTATGTTATTCATTATAGAAATCTACAACAATATATAAAGGAAGGATATGTTCTTGAAAAAGTATATCAAATTCTAGATTTCGAACAATCACCATGGTTGGAACCATACATTGCAATAAATACTCAACGATGTACAAAAGCAAAGAATGCCTTTAAAAAAGATTTCTGGAAATTAATGAATAACTCAGTATTTAGAAAAACTATGGAAGATGTAAAAAAATGAGTGAATATAGATTTAGTTAGACAGGTAGGTAAAGAACGGAGATTACGTAGATTAATATCAGATCTGGTATTTGTTAGTAGAAAAATTTTCTATGGAGCAAATTTGGTAGCGGTACATCAAAGACAAACCAATGTAAAACTAAATAAGCCAGAATATGTTGGAGCATGTATTCTTGATCTTTCTAAATACTTTATATATGACTTCTGGTATGGACATCTCAAAAAGAAGTATGGTGATCGAGTAAGACTTTTATATACAGATACAGATTCTTTAATCATAGAAATTGAAACCGAAAATATTTATCAAGATATGATCGATGATTGTGATTTATTTGATTTTAGTAACTATCCAGAAGATCATTGGGTAGTAAAAAATCTTCCAGAAGATCAGTGGATAATTAATGAAGGTAAACATGTCTTAAAAAATACAAAAGTTATAAAAGGAGATCGTGCTATTGGCTATGCAGGAGTTCGCGCAAAATGTTATAGTGTTGTCTGTGAAAATTCACGAAAAAATATGATAAAGGCTAAAGGTCTAAAAAAGTCTCTTATCAAGAAAGAGCTTAATCATAAAATATTCGAGGACTGTATTTTAGAAGGAAAAGAGGATCAGCCACGAACTGCACAATTCTTCCGAAGTTACAGATATCGAATGTATAGAATAAAGCAAACAAAGAGAAACATTAACCCATTAGATATGAAATTGTAGATAGCTCGTGATATGGAAACAATATATTTATATGGTGATTGTGAAATTCCGGAAGAATAAATATAACTTTGCTTCATAACATTTTAATATATCTATCCACTATGTGACCATCTTTGACAATAATATATATAATTTTTTACTTATGCAATTATTAGCAAAAATATAAATAAGATCGTGCGATCCCTCACCATACTAAATAATTCATGAATGAACGGATCGCCAAATCCGAAATGAGATTTCATAAAATCTGCAAAT